TCATGGCTCACTGTAGCCTCAACCTCCTCTGATTCAAGTGATCCTCCTACCTCAGCCTCCTGAGTAGCTGGCACTACAGGCATGTGCCACCATGCCCAGCTTTTTCTTTTTTTTTTTTTTTTGTAGAAACTTCCTATGTTGCCCAGACTGGTGCTGGTCTCGGACTCCTGACCTCAAGCAATCCTCTCACCTTGGCCTTTCAAAGTGCTGGGGTTACAGATGTAAATCACTGCACCTGGCCCAAATGCATTTTTTACTTAATGATATCTTCAAGTCACAAGTGTTTGTTGGGACATAACCCCATTATAAGTCAAAAAGTCTCGATATATACATTTTCTCTCTGCATCCAATGAATTACTAGCTTATCTGGTTCTTCTTTCATAATATTTTGTTTGTTTCTTTGTTTGTTTGAGATGGAGTTTTGCTCTTGTTGCCCAGGCTGGAGTGCAATGGTGCGATCTCAGCTCACTGCAACCTCCGTCTCCCAGGTTCAGGAAATTCTTGTGCCTCAGCCTCCTCAGTAGCTGGGATTACAGGCAAGCTCCACCACACCCAGCTAATTTTTATATTTTTAGTAGAGACAGGGTTTCACTATGTTGGCCAGGCTGGTCTCGAACTCCTGACCTCAGGTGACCCACCTGTCTCAGCCTTCCAAAGTGCTGGGCTTACAGGCATGAGCTACCCCGCCCGAACTGTCTGCTCATTTTCTACTATTAATCACCTTATATATGTATTACTATGAAAGCTCTGATTTGTTTTTTTCCTCCAGTTAAATTCTCATAGACACCACTAACAGATTAACTTAAAATATCTTTTACATGACTATAGAAACTTCAGAAGTTCCTACTGCCTCTGAAAATATGAAGTTCAAAATGAAAGCCTCCCACAATCCCAGAACTATATACTATGTATACCTAAATTTCCCTCTAGAACAACCAAGTCAACAGACAAAACAATACATGATCCTTGGCTGGGCATGATGGCTCACGCCTGTAATCCCAGCACTTTGGGAGGCTGAAGCAGGCAGATCACTTGAGGTCAGGAGCTCGAGACCAGCCTGGCCAACATGGTGAAACCCTGTCTCTACTAAAAATAGAAAAATTAGCCAGGCGTGGTGGTGGTGCATGCCTGTAATGCCAGCTACTCTAGAGGCTGAGGCAGGAGAATCGCTTGAACCTGAGAGGTGGAGGTTGCAGTGAGCTGAGACTGCACCACTGCACTCCAGCCTGGGTGACAGAGCGAGATGCTGTCTCAAAAAACAAAAACATGATCCAGTGTAGGCTTAAAGATATCAGGAAACTTCTAGTGACTATTTACTGGGCATAAAAGGTAGGGCCCCTGGAAGGCATTGAGATGACAGTTTTCAGTCAGTCTCAAATATTTAGTTTACAGGACAGCCAGACGTGGACGTAGAAAACTAACATTAGAAGGTATCTGTCCCGGCCGGGCGCAGTGGCTCAAGCCTGTAATCCCAGCACTTTGGGAGGCTGAGACGGGCGGATCATGAGGTCAGGAGATCGAGACCATCCTGGCTAACACAGTGAAACGCCGTCTCTACTAAAAAAAAATACAAAAAACTAGCCGGGCGAGGTGGTGGGCGCCTGTAGTCCCAGCTACTTGGGAGGCTGAGGCAGGAGAATGGCGTAAACCCGAGAGGCGGAGCTTGCAGTGAGCTGAGATCCGGCCACTGCACTCCAGCCTGGGTGACAGAGCGAGACTCCGTCTCAACAAAAAAAAAAAAAAAAAAAAAAAAGAAGGTATCTGTCCCATAAACCAGACTGTAAACACACTTATTGTTTGGAGGAGGGCTGAAGAAAGGGCTTAAGCTGGGCCTTGATTGACTAGAATGGACAACTACCAAAGAAAAAGAAGAGAAATAGAAGAAAACTACAAAAAAAAAAAAAAAAAAAAAAAAAAAAAAAAAAAAAAAAAAAAAAAAAAAAAAAAAAAGAGGGGGGGTGGGGGAACTGAGGGAAAATGAATGGATACTGTTAAAAAGGTCTTATTCAATTCAACATCTACTGAGCACCATGTGCCAAACAGAAACTAAGTATTCTCCAAGAAACAGGAGTGAAGGGCAGAACTTTTCTTGGCTCTTTAAGCCAGCCCCTTCTCAAAGTAGACAACTGGGGACTGACACATAATAGGCATTCAAAGCATTAAATGAATGACATAATTTCATTACTAGCTAAATAGAAGGGTAGAAGAAAAGGGAGTATTCCATGATGGAATTAAAAAATGGACGTCAGGCCAGGCGTAGTGGCTCATGCCTGTAATCCCAGCAGTTTGGGTGGCTGAGCCAGGTGGATCACTTGAGGTCAGGAGTTTGAGATCAGCCTGGCCAACATGGTGAAACCCTATCTCTACCAAAAATACAAAAATTAGCCAGGCATGGTAGCGTGTGCCTGTAATCCCAGCTACTTGGGAGGCTAAGGCAGGAGAATTGCTTGAACCTAGGAGGCAGAGGTTGCAGTGAGCCAAGACCGTGCCATTGCACTCCAGTCTGGGCGACAGGGCGAGACTCTGTCTCAAAAAAAGAAGCACTTCAGAGCTTCTATATAGTCATGTGCTACATAATGACATTTCACTCAAGGTGGGACTGCATACAGGATGGTTTTCCTCTAAGATTATAATGGCCGGGCATAGTGGCTCACACCTGTAATCCTAGAACTTTGGGAGGCTGAGGCAGGTGGACGGATCACTTAAGGTCAGGAGTTTGAGACCAGCCTGGCTAACGTGGTGAAACCCTATCTCCTAAAAAAATACAAAAATTAGCCGGGCATGATGGCACATGCCTGTAGTCCCAGATACTCAGGAGGCTGAGACAGGAGAATTGCTTGAACCCAGGAGGTGGAGGTTGCAGTGAGCCAAGATCGTGCCACTGCACTCCAGCCTGGGCAACAGAGCAAGACTCTGTCAAAAAAAAAAAAAAGAAAGAGAAAAGAGAGAAAGAAAAGATTATAATGGATCTGAAAAATTCCCATCACCTACTGATATCATAGCCCTGTAGTGCAACACATTACCTTTTTTGTGTTTAGATACACACATACTTACCATTGTCTTATAAATGCCTATGGTAGTTAGTACAGTAATATTTTATCCAGGTTTGCAGTCTAGGAGCAGTAGGCTATACCATATAACTTAGGTGTGTAGTAGGCTATACCACCTCAGTTTGTGTAAGTACACTCTATAATGTTCACACAATGATGAAACTGCCTAACTATGCATTTATCAGAATGTATTGCCGCTGTTAAGCAATGTATAACTGTATCTGGAAATGTTATAAAAGCTATAAAGGCATCATTATTGTATAAATGTTCAGCTAGTTATCATACAGAAATATAACACCAGAATACTCTGCTCCTGATTCAATCACTTGTCTAAATGCAGCCAGAGTGATTTTCAAAACACAGATCTGAACATGTCACCCCTTACTTAAATTCTTCAACGGCATCCCATTTTTCTTAGGATAGACCAATTCCTTCACAGGCATATAAGAACTTGCATGGCCTCATCCCTATCTATCTATCCATCTTTTCCACTCGACCCCAGCATCACTTTTTATTCCCATTTCCCCTGCTGTAGTTAATTCCTACTTACCATTCAGGTCTCAGCTCAATTGTCACTTGCTAGAGCAAAGTCCCCCATTATGGTTACTCATAGTACCTTGTACTTCTTTGGGGGGAATTTATAACAGTTTTAGTTTTATATCTGTGTGACTATTTAATGTCAAGCTCTATCATAGACTGTAAACTCTAAAAAGGCAGAGATTTTAAAATGTTCTATGTTCTGTAATACATTATTTAATAAAAAATTTACACACATGTATGATTTTAAATACTTCTAGCCTAAGAGATAAATCTAGGAATGGTAGCATTTACCCTCCAAGGCATTACTATTTTACAGCCCATAAAAGAGGCCGGGCATGGTGGCTCTACACCTATAATCCCAGCACTTTGGGAGGTCAAGGCAGAAGGATTGCTTGAGCCTAGGAGTTTGAGACCAGCCTGGGAAACATGACAAAACCCCGTCTCTACCAAAAAACCCACAAAAATTAGCTGGGTGTGGTGGCATGTGCCTGTAGTCCAACTACATGGGAAGCTGAGGTGGGAGGCTTGCTTGATCCTGGGAGACTGAGGCTGCAATGAGCCATGATCATGCCACTGCACTGCAGCCTGGGTGACAGAATGAGAACCTGTCTCAAAAAAAAAAAAAAAAAAAAAAAAAAAAAACACACACACACACAACCAAAAACCCATAAAACATCTATATTTAAACAGCGACCTAATCACTCTAAGTCACTGTTTATCTGTAAAATATGGATAACCTGAAAGATAAGTTGTCCATAGTAAGTGAAAAACATATATAGTTTTCAAAACAATGTATGATATGTGGTAAATGCTAAATAACTGATGCCTATGAATATAAGTCCCATTTGTAATTAATTCATGTTTCTAAAATGTATTGCCCAAACTTTTTTTTTTTTGAGACGGAGTCTCGCCCTGTCACCCAGGCTGGAGTGCAGTGGCACAATCTCAGCTCACTGCAACCTTCGCCTCCCAGGTTCAAGCGATTCTCCTGCCTCAGCTTCCCAAGTAGCTGGGATTACAGTCGCCCGCCACCACAACTGGCTAATTTTTGTATTTTTAGTATTTTAGTAGAGACAGGGTTTCGCCATGTTGGCCAGGCTAGTCTCGAACTCCTGACCTCAGGTGATCTGCCTGCCTTGGCCTCCCAAAGGTGTGAGCCACTGTGCCCGGCCCCTAAACATTTAATTTACATAGTAACACTGAACAATTCTGATGTTCTTTCAAGCTGGTTAAAAAGATTCTGAGGGGGATAAAAGAGATTCAAGAGCTGTTACATATTTTGTTATAATTTTTAAGGTGATTATATCATTCTTAAGTTTCCCCCCATTATTTACTGTAACCCAGACTATTATTTTTTAAGACATATACAACTCATGATAAGATGTATTTAAAATGGACAGATACATAAAGTTTATCTTAAAATGCAATTTTATTTCAGTAGTCAATGACCATCAATCAAATAAAGGAAAGAAAACTAATTTCTTGAAGAAAGACAAATCTATGGAGTGGTTCACAGGAAGCGAAGAATGAGATGGTCCAACTAAACCAATTTGGAATCATTAACTACAAAATGTCAAACTAACTGCAAGACAAGTGTCAAAATGGGACGTTTAAGCAGTTTTGCCATGTTATACATCTTTATTTTGTTATTTTCAAAATTATATGTAAAAGTTATATAAGTCACAGTAATAGCTAAAAATGCCAATCTATGAAAGTAGTGATTTTCAATATAAAGTTCTATTTTGATATTTTTCCATCTTCAAGTCAGTTGCTGTCATCTGGAGTACTCAGTTGTGGTTTGATCTTCCTCAACTTGACAAGAAAAGCTAATTTAAGAGAAGAAAAACATAAAGTCATTATATTAATTAGAAGAAAAAACACCATTTAATATGTTCTGAAAACATTACTCACCTGTATGACCATGTTGCCAGTGTACTGGTCTAGCAACGTAGGGAAATGATCCATATGGAAAATCAGAATGTGATTCTTCTGTTGTAAAAAATATATGTACTATAAGCTACATAAAATATTTTCTAATTTTTTCACAAAACTGTTAAAATATGAGTTACTCTAAGTTTTTTCTCTTTTTTTCCTTGTATTTGTTTTAGAGCTACTCTGCCAGTTATTATACAGAAATGATTTGTCAATGATTATATAATAAACATATGATTTTATAACCAAATGGATAAGCCCATATCATAAATCAATGGATACTTGAAAACTTGTTCATGGCCTAAATAATGTGCATATATGACAAAGATCTAAACTCAGTTCTTTCAAGAATTCCAGCAGCATCTTAGAAGTTGCTTTTTGGAATATTAGCTATTTGCCTATCAGGTTCCATTAAATTCATTCCGTTCAGTAATAATCAGTGATCTAAATATAAAACAACCGTAATATACTTAAATTATTTCACAAACCAAGCTCCTTGTGACAAGTAAAATATGAAGATTATAAAAAGCTCAATTCTTCAAAGATATCGGAGTTTTATGTAAAAGGCAGGAAAAGTAATTATTCTGTGCCTTATACATCTTAGCAAAATATCACACTTCAATTTCTATAGAAAATTGCTGAGGAATATTTTTATAATCTTTTGGTCAGTATACTCAGGAACTCATTCTCCATTTATTACTACATGCATAAAGTAAAACTGAAGCTCACCACGGTCATCCTCTTGAAACAGCTCATCTTCAACTCCAGTTTTCTTTTGAGAATCTAGTTGTACATCTATGTTGATTTTAGGTTCTACTTTTTGAGCTAAAATTCCAGTTTTCCGTTTTGCAAGGCAAACCAACCAATCTTTGACAGTGACCTCGCTTATCTTTTCACATGAAAGAGCAAGTTCACAGATGCGAATTCCATCTAAAAGTTCGATAACCTGTGTGATGCTTTCAGAAAAGTGAAAAATGTACATTTCTACTAAAATAATAACATTCTATTTATTTAAGTTCCCTATACCTCTTGCCCACATTTAAATACTATAGTTAAATTAAGGCAGGAGAGGGTTTAAATATTCAAGTTAGGAAGCATAAAAAGTACTTTCACAAAATTCTAAGTAAACAAACACAGAGACCATAATTTAACATTACTGTTCACATTATACTTTTAAAAAGTTTCTTCCAGATTGTCAGAAGAAAATGCGCATCTTATATTACTATTTATGTAAAAAATGATTTAAACAGTAATATAGGGCTGGGCGTGGGTCATGCCTGTAATCCCAGCACTTTGGGAGGCCGAGGCAGGTGTGGATTCTCACAAGGGGTCAAGAGATTGGAGGACCATCCTGGGCTAACCGATGGGTGAAACCGCCCCAATCTCCTCTACCTTAAAAAGCGAAGAAAATAAATTGAGCCATGGTGAACCCATCTAAAAAAAAAAAATAGCTGGGTGGTGGGCGCCTGTAGTCCCAGCTACTTGGGTGGCTGAGGCAGGAGAATAGAGTGAACCCGGGAGGCGGAGCTTGCAATAAGCCGAGATTGCACCACTGCACTCCAGCCTGGGCAACAGAGCAGACTCCCTCTCAAAAAATAATAAATAAATAAATAAATAAATACTAAATAAATATACAATATAAATGAACTTGGGACTTGTCATTTTAAAACAGTTGTATAAAATGTCATGTACACTTTATTCAGTTACAAAATGAATATTTTGGCTGTGCGTGGTGGCTCATGCCTGTAATCCCAGCACTTTGGGAGACCAGACGAGCACATCACCTGAGGTCAGGAGTTCAAGACCAGCCTGGCCAACATGGTGAAACCCCTTCTCTACTAAAAATAGAAAAAATTAGCTGGGCGTGGTGGTGGGTGCCTGTAATCCCAGCTACTTGGGAGGCTGAGGCAGGATAATTGCTTGAACCAGGGAGGTGGAGGTTGCAGTGAGCCAAGATCATACCACTGCACTCCAGCCTGGGTGACAGAATGAGACTCTGTGTCAAAAAAAAAAAAAATTTTTTTTAGTTTGGAACTTAAGCAAAAGTGCACTTAAAAGTCACATTACAAAGAAAAACAGTTCTATTACTCACTTTGCTAGATATACAGCACATACACCACCATGCTTAAGACGTGGGTAAAAAACAGGCAAAGTAATATGAGGGTTTAACATATCCAAAGCTACCTGTGTAGGGGGAAAAGAGAACTGCATCAGTCTGATTCCGTTTAAATAAAGCATAAGTTTTCTTATTGTGGTGAAATGATACAGCAATCACTCAAGGTATTTCATTTTTTAGAAGGTAGTATTATTAACTATCATTTTACTTCTCCCAAAAGGGTATGTTAATTATTATACAGTTGGGCAAGGTGGCTCCTGCCTGTAATCCCAACACTTTGGGAAGCTGAGTCAAGAGGATCCATTTGAGGCCGAGTTTGAGACCAGCCCAGACAACACAGCGAGACTCTGACTCTATTGAGAAAAAAAAAAAGAGTGGCTGGATGCAGAGGCCCAAGCCCGTAGTCCCAGCTACTCAGGAAGCTGAGATGGGAGGGTCACTGGAGCTTAGGAGTTCGAGGCTGTAGTGACCTATGACTTTGCCATCATACTCCACCCTGGGCAAGAGTGAGATCCTGTCTCAGGGAAGAAAAAATAATTTGTCATAGCACTTGATGATACTGAAAAATCATAATGATATGTCTTGTACTTGGCACATTAATATGGAAATACTGATTTGGCTATGTATGTATATATGAATATAACCAAAGATTCCTGTATGCCTGTATTATCAATATTGCCAAGTGTAAAACACGCCATTACAACATAAAACATTTACACATTTGAGACAATGTGAATTTCTTTTTTTTTTTTTTTTGAGACAGGGTCTCGCTCTGTTGACCAGGCTGGAGTACAGTGGCACGATGTCACCTCACTGCAACTTCCACCTCCTGAGCTCAAGCAACCCTCCCACCTCAGCCTCCCAAGTGGCTGAGATGACAGGCAGGCACCACCATTCTCAGTTAATTTTTTGTATCTTATGTAGATACAGGGTTTTGCCATGTTGCCCAGGCTGGTTTTGAACTCCTGGATTCAAGCGATCTGCCCGCCTCGGCCTTCCAAAATGCTGGGATTATAGATGTGAACCACTGCACCTGGCTGACATTGTAAATTTCTATTGCCAAAACTTATAAATCTAAATGCCTTATTTCAGCTTTGGCAACAGAAATTCACACTGTTGACCAGAGGCAGTGGCTCACGCCTATAATCCCAGCACTTTTGGGAGACTGAGGTGGGTGGATCACCTGAGGTCAGGAATTTGAGACCAGCCTGGCTAACGTGGCGAAACCCTGTCTCTACTAAAAATACAAAAATTAGCCAGGTATGGTGGTGCACACCTATAGTCCCAGCTACTGGGAAAGCTGAGGCAGGAGAACTGCTTGAACCTGGGAGGTGGAGGTTGCAGTGAGCCAAGATTAAACCACTGCACTCTAGCCTGGGTGACAGAGTGAGATTGTCTCAAAAAAAAAAAAAAGAATCATATCCCTTATTTCCTCTTTACTCTTCTTTCAATTTCAATTGCAGTGTACACGGCTGTAGTCACAGAAGATGCCAATAAGTACAAAAGATAAGTGAAAATTTTTCAAATAAAAAATTAATTAAAAACAAAAAAAAAATCTGGTCAAAATAGAAAATAAAGTAACATTTACTGTCGTATGAACTCCAGAAAGCTTGGAGTTATGCTGGCATATCTATTTACTAAATGAGAAAATATTAGTTTATGTGTTTTTTAAAAACAGTACTAATCGGTCAAGGGACATCTTATTAATTCACCAAATATTTATTAAGCACTCTCTACATGACAAACATTTTTCTCTAAGTGGTAAGGATATAGTTGGAACTTATAGTCTGTTTCATGGGATCTAATGAAGGGGTAGACATTAAACAAAAATTAAAAAAATATAAATAAATAGGACAGAGGGTGGTGAGTGACATGAAGAAAAACAGTTATAAAGCAGAATAGGCATGGTAACTCACGCCTGTAATCCCAGCACTTTGGGAAGCCAAGGCAGGAGGACTGCTTGAGCCCAGGAGTTCCAGACCAGCGTGGGCAATACAGTGAGACCCCACATTTATAAAAATAAAAAAATTGGCTGGGTGCGGTGGCTCACGCCTGGAATTCCAGCACTTTGGGAGGCCGAGGCGGATGGATCACCTGAGGTCAGGAGTTCAAGACCAGCCAGGCCAACGTGGTGAAACCCCATCTCTACTAAAAATACAAAAATTAGCTGGATGCAGTGGCGCACACCTGTAATCCCAGCTACTTAGGAGGCTGAGGCAGGAGAATAGCTTGAACCCGGGAGGTTCAAGTGAGCAGAGATCACGCCACTGCACTCCAGCCTGGGCGACAGAGTGAGACTCGTCTCAAGAAAAAAAACTGCCAGGCGTGGTGGCGTGCACCTGTGGTTCCAGCTACTTGGGAGGCTGAGGAGGGAGGATCACTTGGGCTTGAGAAATCAAGGCTGCAGTGAGCTGTGATTGTGTCACTGCACTCCAGCCTGGGTGACAGGGTGAGACCCTATCTCAAAACAAACAAAACAAGCAGAGTAAGAGGGAAAGAAAGTGACAGGTTAGGGAAAGGAGGTGTCATTTTATACACAAGCTGGTCGGTGAAGAGATCTGAAGAAAATAAAATTAAGTTTAACCCATGGAAATGTAGGGAAGAAGTGAGCTCCTGGTGGAGGGAACAGCAAATATTTAATACAAACACTCTGAGGTAGTAGGCTACTTGGAAAGTCTGTTGAGGCTACTGTCACTGCAGTGGAGATAAAAGGGGGGAAGTGTAAGAGATGACACCGAAGGTGGTGGACACAGATTACACAGAATCACGCAGTCTTTAGCTTTACTTCTCAATTGAGAAGCCACTGGAGAATTTTAAAGAATGACCGATCTGAACTTTTTAAAAAAACTTTTTGTGTGTGTGGTAAAATCAACATTGCCATTTTAAGTGTACAATTCACTGTCATTAAGTATACTCTGACTCACTTTAAAATCTACATGCAGAAAACACTGAGAATGCAAGGAAAGATGACGGTGGCTTGTAATAGCAAAGAGCAGTTGGTGTGGTAAGAAGTGGTATATATTTTGAAGACAGAGCCAATTGGAATTAGGATTAGGATTGGCAGTAGGATGTGAGAAAAAGAAGACTGAATTCAAAGTTTTCAGCCTAAGCCACTGAAAGAATGGAGATGTCATTTACTAATGAGGAAAATGATCAAGATTATGGGAGAGCAAGCTTGGGGGAAATAAGAATTCAGGTTTGGATATGTATTTAAGATGCCTATTAAATATCCAAGTCGAGGCCAGGCATGGTGGCTCATGCCTGCAATCCAAGCAGTTTGGGAGACCGAGGCGGTTGGATCACCTGAGGTCAGGAATTCGAGACCAACCTGGCCGACATGACAAAACCCTGTCTCTACTGAAAATACAAAAAAAATAGCTGGGCATGGTGGCGGGCGCCTGTAGTCCCAGCTACACAGAGGGCTGAGACAGCAGAAATGCTTGAACCCAGGAGGCAGAGACTGCAGTGAGCCGAGATCATGCCATTGCACTCCAGCCTGGGCAACAGAGTGAGACTCCATCTCAAATAAATAAATAAATAAATAAATAAATATCCAAGTGAGGATTTCAATGACAATCAAGGGTCAACATGATGACATACATGGGCTCTTAGACTGTAGTTTTACTATGTTATTGACAAGGACCAAAGTCAGATAACCAAAAAAACTGCAAATCCTCTTGAATGCTCAATTCTCAGTTAACAGCATTTATCCAGTTACTCAAACCAGAAACTTAGAGTCATCATTGTCTTTTTTCAAAGCCTAATCAAGAAGCCATCATTTTCTTCACCTGGAATTCTCTTTTGAGACTCTGGGGTTTTGGTGCTTCTGTTTGAATTAAAGTCTCACAAATCTACCTCCAGTGTTTCTCAAATTAATCCCACCGACATTGACTTAGGTCAAGACCTCATCATATCTTGTTGAAATATTATAATACCTTTCTGCATAGACTCCCAACCTCCATTCTTTCTCCAGAATTATTCTAAAACAGAAATCTAGACAGTCTGCTCTCCTACTTACAAGATAATGTCCATACTATCCAGCTTGATAAACATACAACTTTCTTTATTATCTAGCCCCTCATGACTGCATTTACAGCCTCATCTCCTCCTACCAAGTTCTACAGCCATGGTGTTTTATACTTCTGAGTCCTTTTAGTAACTGTTTATGTGTCCATTTCATTTCATCTTATTTAATTAATTATTATTTTTTTTTTTGAGATGGAGTCTTGCCCTGTTGCCCAGGTTGGGGTGCAATGGTGCGATCTTTGCTCACTGCAACCTCCGCCTCCCAGGTTCCAGAGATTCTCCTGCCTCAGCCTCCCGAGTAGCTGGGATTACAGGTGTGTACCACCACGCAAAACTAATTTTTTTTTTTAATCTTTAGTAGAGACAGGGTTTCACCATGTTGGCCAGGCTGGTCTCGAACTCCTGACCTCATGATCCACTCGCCTCAGCCTTCCAAAGTGCTGGGATTACAGGCGTAAGTCACTGCACCCGGCCAGTTTAATTTAATTTTTGAGACAGAGTCTTGCTCTGTCACCTAGGCTAGAGTGCAGTGGTGCAATCTCAGCTCACTGCAGCCTCTGCCTCCTGGGTTCCAGCGATCCTCCTATCTCAGCCTCCCAAGCAGCTGGGATTACTGGCATGCACCACCACCACACCCAGCTAATTTTCATACTTTTAGTAGAGATGGGGTTTCACTATATTGGTCAGGCTGGTCTCAAACGCCTGACCTCAAGTGATCCACCCGTCTCAGCCTCCCAAAGTGCTGGGATTACCGCCATGAGCCATCATGCCTGGCCGACAGCTATTATTTTTTAATTTTTAAATATTTCTTATTCATTTTTTGTTTTTGAAAGCTCTTTTGAATGCATAATTTTTGTCTTAGCACAGCACATGGTACATGGCAGGTTCTTAATAAATGCTTATTGACTCCAGAAACAAAGTGGTTCAGAAATTCAGAGGCAGGTAATAATCCTCTGGCTAGATGAGGCAGGATATTTCACGCAAGAGATGACCTTTAAGCTCTGAAGGGAGAACAGAGTTTAAACAGGCAGAGAAAAGGGGAAAGGAAGAAAATCAAAATGATGAAAATCATAACTAACATTTATTCATTGCTTACTATGTACCAGGTACTTCACATGAATTTTCTTATTTAATCCTCAACAACTCTATGAAATAGGTACTATTATCATTACTGTTTAATACATGACGTGACTGAGGCATGGAAAGCTTCAGTGACTTACCCAAGGTTACGCTGGCGATTATGGAGCCTGGCGGTGGACCAACCTGAATGGACCCCAAACTTATCTTCCTCTATTCCTTTCCCTTCCTTTTCTCTCCTCAGAAACAGTCAGTGTCCAGAAGTTGGTAACATTCCCAAATTTTATACTTCTACAACATATGTAAATAGCTACAAACAATACATGTTGTGTAGTTTTAAATTTTCCATGTAGGTAGTCATTTCACATACTCTCTTATAATGCTTTTTCTACCAAACACCAAGTCTTTCAGATTTATTGATGTAGCTAGAGTACATTTATTGTTAGTGTTCCATTGTGTCCACCCCCTTTTGATGGTTAAGCTGTTCCCAAAATGTGTTAAATTCTTTTATTAGTCATGCTCTTTTTTCTGTTTTTCTTTATGGTTTAACACCTTTTTTATTCATTTAGCATCATTTTGGTTGGCATATATGGAGTCAGGTTACATAAAGGACTAGAGAAAGGAAGGTTCAGATCAGAGTCTGGACACCAGAAATCTTTGACTGAAAAGCTCTGGATTGTTTTTTCAGCAGGAGAATGACAGTATCAGAAATACATATATATACACATATACATATATATTTTTCTTTTTTGCTTTTTTGAGATAGAGTCTTGCTCTGTTGCCCAGGCTGGAGTGCAGTGGCGCAATCTTGGCTCACTGGAACCTCCACCTCCCAGGTTCAAGCGATTCTGCTGACTCAGCCTCCCAAGTAGCTGGGATTGTAGGCACCCACCACCATGCCTGGCTAATTTTTGTATTTTTCTTTCTTTGTTTTGTTTTGTTTGTTTGTTTGTTTGTTTTAGAATGGAGTTTCACTCTTGTTGCCCAGGCTGGAGTGCAATGACGCAATCTCAGCTCACCGCAACCTCCAACTCCCGAGTTCAAGCGCTTCTCCTGCCTAAGCCTTCCGAGTAGCTGGGATTACAGGCACAAGTCACCACGCCCAGCTCATTTTATTTGTATTTTTAGTAGAGATGGGGTTTCACCATATTGGCCAGGCTGGTCTCGAATTCCTGACCTCCCACATTGATCGGGCTGGTCTCAAACTTCCGACCTCAGGTGATCTGCCCGCCTCGGCCTTCCAAAGTGCTGGGATTACAGGCGTGAGCCACTGCTCCCGGCCTACATTTTGTATTTTTAGTTGAGACGGGGTTTTGCCATGTTGGCCAGGCTGGTCTCGAACTCCTGACCTCAGGTCTCCCAGAGTGCTGGAATTATAGGCGTGAGCCACTGCACCCAGCCCAGAAGTATATTTTAGGAAAATTATTCTAGAGATGAGGGGGATGGATTAGAAGAGGGAAGGCCCAGAAGGTGAGATGGCAGCTAGGAGAAGAATTAAGTAGACAAAGGGAGCAACAATTAAAAAAAAAAAAAAAAATAGTGGGAATGTGAAAACAAATTTGTTTGTTTGTTTGCTTATTTTGAGACAGACTCTTGCTCTGTCGCCCAGGCTTGAGTGCAGTGGTGCAACCTCAGCTCACTGCAACCTCCGCCTCCCGGGTTCAACCAATTCTCTTGTCTCAGCCTCCTGAGTAGCTGGGATTACAGGCAACCGCCATCACGCCTGGCTAATTTTTGTATTTTTAGTAGAGATGGGGTTTCACCATCTTGGCCAGGCTGGTCTCGAATTCCTGATCTCAGGAGATCCACCTGCCTCGGCCTCCCAAAGTGCTGGGATTACAGGCGTGAGCCACCGCACCCAGCCAGAAATTTACGTTTAACATACGCCTTTTGATCTTTGATCAAACATCAACCCTCAAGCAGTACTCTTACCAATGTACAATTTTTAGAAACATTCTTAAGAAAAGGAAATTATTCATGATCTAGCTTCTATTTAATAGTTCTGTACTTTGGGAGGCCAAGACGGGTGGATCACGAGGTCAGGAGATTGAGACCATCCTGGCTAACACGGTGAAACTCCGTCTCTTCTAAAAAATATAAAAAACTAGCTGGGCGAGGTGGCAGGCGCCTGTAGTCCCAGCTACTCGGGAGGCTGAGGCAGGAGAATGGCATAAACCTGGGAGGCGGAGCTTGCAGTGAGCTGAGATCCGGCCACTGCACTCCAGCCTGGGCGACAAAAAAAAAAAAAAAAAAAAAGTTCTGTATTACAATTATTCATGAACACCAACTATAATTCTTTGGTCCTAACGGTATATAACTCTTCCCCAGCAGCTGACACCCTCCCACCGTCCTTCTCTATTCCCTCATATTGAGTAATCATCTGGCACTATTATTCAAGAGAGAGTCAGCTGAATAAATCTAAAAAGGAGTATTATTTTTAGATCAGGAATGGTTCAGCAGGTTTCTACAAAGCTTCAATGATATCGTTAAAATCCTTTGTTGTGTTTCATGCTCATCAAATGAAATTCTGATGACCTATTTAATCTCCCAGGTATTTTTGACATTCCTATGGATGACCTAAACAGAGCCCTTTCCCCCTTATTGAGCTGTAACAAGCAAGTCATAGATGAGAAAAATGAACTGAGGTCTTTCTGTACAGGAAGCTGTGCCACTAAAACTATAGGCTTTAGTTATATCAGAGCTAGAAGCCAGTGCTGATAAAAATCATTTTCACAGCCGGGCACAGTGGCTCATGCCTGTAATCCCAGCACTTTGGGAGACTGAGGCAGGCAGATCATCTAAGGTTAAGAGTTCGAGACCAGCCTGGCCAACATGGTGAAACCCCATCTCTACTAAAAATACAAAAATTAGCTGGGCATGGTGGCATGTGCCTGTAATCCCAGCTATTTGGGAGGCCGAGGCAGGAGAATTGCTTGAACCTGGGAGATGGAGGTTGCAGTGAGCTGAAACTGTACCACTGCACTCCACCCTGAGCAACAGAATGAGACTCTGTCTCCAAAAAAAAAAAAAAAAAAAAAAGATTTTCTCTCCTCTTTGAACTTTGCTTCATTTATCACCAAAATAGTCTATCCTTCCAGCAGCCAATTAAGGAAAGGAAGGAAGACTCCTAACCAGACCTCGGTTCATACTGTGAAGCTATGAACTGTGAAGTGGCATCACCAAGGATAGGGCAACTTACTCTGGAATTCTGAAACTCTTAAGCCAGCAAATACTTCCATGTCCCAGATCTCCACCATGTTTGATCACAGCTTAATGTATCCTCTCTTGTCATCTATCTTTTTACCTTCATCTTCTCTGCTTCTTTTCCCTAAGTCAACCTCCCAGTGTTTCTCTTCCTCACAATCTCTCTGCTCCACTTTCTGGAGCTTTGTTCATGATGAACAGCTCCGTCCTCGACATCTCCAATGAACACACTCCTCTTGATATCCTGACTTTAACTGTCTAGTTGAAGATGCCTTCTGTCTATTCCTTGTCAAATGGAAGCTACTTATTCCCCCAAATCTCAAAATTCAGGGTAGGTGCTGGGTTCAATATGCTTCCAATGCTGCTTCCAAAGTACGATTTATCCTGGAAATGCTGAGGTTCATGATGCTTGACTAGTCTTTGGTCCTAGTTTTCAGTCATCATTCCACATTCAATGACAACTTCAGCACCCAACTCGGTAACTCAGTATGTCTCTGCCCAAAATCCCACCATGAGATTAAAAGGCATGAAACAAAAATATTCTTTCCATCCCTAGAGATAGACATGAAGCAAATGAAGGAAGACCCTTGCCCATGCAAAAGAAGCCTGACACCTATCTTCTCTGTAGTCAAAGGAGTAACACAGGACCCATGTTAGAAAACTTACTGCGTCAAATGTTAAAGCTTTTATGTCTTCAGTTGCTCCTGAAATATCCTTATGAATAAAATCCACATTGTCTGGCCACTCTTCTACATGACTTAATTTCCATGAATCACGCCAGTGTTTGTAATTCTTCTTAGCCAGATCATGGTGGTCTTTTCGTACCTCAAAACTTATGACTCGTCCTTGTGATCCAACTTAAGTAAAAAATAATTTGATATTTCACAATGTTAATCAGTTTATTAAAAAGTGTCAAAAATGTATTTGCAAAGGTACTACATGTATGTGAAAAAAAAAATTGAAATAGTTCAATGTTACAAGTCTTCCTCTCATCCCTGATCCCCAATTAATCTCCCTCCCTCTTCAGAGGCAACCACATCACCAGCTATTTACCTTTCCCGTGATAGTCACTGCCTATACAAGCATGCAAGTATCTATCTGTTTTTAACACACAATGTGGTGTATTATACACATTGTCCTGTACCTTCCTTCTTACTTACCGACAATGTCATTTCAGTGATTCTAGATGTACTGCATTCTTTTTTAAAAAATTGCATTCTTTTTAACAGCCATTATATTCCAGTGTATGGCTATGATGAACATTTAGCTTGTTTCTAGTCATATGCTAATACAAACAATATGGCAATGAAAATTCTTACACCTACGTCTTTGTATCAAGCCAGTATATCTCTATAGGATAAAGTCCTAAAAATGGAATTGCTGGCTCAAGGGTCATATGAATTTATTCACATAATATTACATTGTCCTTCACATAAGTGGTGTCAACTTATATGCCAACCAGCAATGTATTAGAATACCTATATCTCAGGCCGGGCACAGTGGCTCACGCCTGTAATCCCAGCACTTTGGGAGGCCAAGGCGGGTGGATCACGAGGTCAGGTGATCAAGACCATCCTGGCTAACACGGTGAAACCCCGTCTCTACTAAAAAATACAAAAAACTAGCCGGGCGAGGGGGGGCCTGAGTCCACTACGGGGCTGAGCAGGAGACGAACCGGAGGGGCTGCGTGAGCTAGATCCGGCCGCCCCAGCCGGCGCAAGCGAGACTCCGTCTCAAAAAAAAAAAAAAAAATACAAAAAACTAGCCGGGCGAGGTGGCGGGCGCCTGTAGTCCCAGCTACACAGGAGGCTGAGGCAGAAGAATGGCGTAAACCCGCGAGGCGGAGCTTGCAGTGAGCTGAGATCCGGCCACTGCACTCCAGCCCGGGCGACAGAGCGAGACTCCGTCTCAAAAAAAAAAAAAAAAAAAAAAAAAAATTAGCCTGCATGGTGGCACATGCCTGTAGTCCCAGCTACTCAGGAGGCAGAAGGACAGCATGAACCCGGGAGGCGGAGGTTGCAGTGAGCCCAGATGCGACACTGCACTCCAGCCTGGGCAACAGTGCATGACTGCATCTCAAAAAAAACAAACCTGTATCTCCATACTCTTCCTGAAAGTTTTTGAACTTTTTATCTGTGTCAATCTAAAAAATGAATAGAGTTTATCATTTTTAATGTAGATTTTTGAGTTTTTTTTTTTTTTTTTGAGACAGGGTCTCACTCTGTCACCTAGGTTGGAGTGCAGTGGTGCAATCATGGCTTACTGCACCCCCCACCTCCCAGGCCCAAGCAATCCTCCCACCTCAGCCTCCTGAACAGCTGGGATGACAGATGTGTGCCACCACACCCAGCTAATTTTTTGTATTTTTGGTAGAGACGAGGCTTTGCCATTTTGCCCGAGCTGGTCTCAAACTCATGAGCTCAAGCAATCTGCCTGCCTCGGCCTCCCAAAGTGCTGGGATTACAGATGTGAACCATGACGCTCAGCCTTTTAATGTAGTTTTAACTTGCATTTCTTTTACTATGGATGAGGTTGAGTCTTTCACATATTTAAAAGGTATTTGTGGCCTGATACAGTGGCTCGCCAAGGTAATCCCAGCACTTTGGTAGGGCAAGGCAGGCAGATCACTTGAGGTTAGGAGTTTGAGACCCGCCTGGCCAACATGGTGAAACCCTGTCTCTACCAAAAAAACAAACAAACAAAAGGTATATATATTTGTGTGTGTGTGTGTATGTCTGTGTGTGAAGAACTTTTAAACTAATTAGCACGGTAATACTGCAATTCCAGACAGGAGTACTACATTTTAACTTAAGGCAATTAACTTTCCACCCACCTCTATCTGAAGCGATTTGATACCATTTGGAGATTATCCCAGATCAATCAGTTTACAGTTTACTAAAGAAGTTTAAATTCCAAGGTATCTTTTGAAATGTAACTCCAACTGCAAGTTATGAGGTTCTCAGGAGATAAAAATTAATGTTAATAGTAATATAAGCTGGGTGTGGTGCCCCATGCCTGTAATCCCAGCACTTTGGGAGGCTTAGGCAAGATTGCTTGAGGCCAGGAGTTTAAGACCAGCCTGGGCAACAGTGAGACCCAGTCTCTACAAAAAATTTTAAAAATTAGCCAGCTTTGGTGGTATGTGCCTATTGTCCCAGCTACTTGGGAGCCTGGGACAGGAAGATCACTTGAGCTCCGAGGGTCAATGCTGGAGTGAGCCACGATCATACCACTGCATTCCAGCCTGGGGAACAGCCTCAAAAAAAAAAAAAAAAGAAAAAAAGTAATATAAACTAAACAACTGGAAAAGAAATTATGGAGAAAAATACCCATAACATAGGTAAATAGCAATAATTTCTTGCACATTTATAGTTTAGGATTATTCAAGCCATGACACTCCTCTGATACTATATATTTTAGAAATAAAGGCATTTATCCATTCTCACCAGTTTTTATGAATCCACTTTGTCAAATGAAACCATGCAGTTAGGAATTTGTCATAGATTATGAGAAAATGACTGCCTTTAACTATGTACAGAAAAGTCAAACAAAAGATTGAGGAGCCCAGAATGAATTTACTGGGTTAATATAATCTAGATAATATTCATATGTGAAGACATTAGGTCAAAGAACAAAAGGTGTGAGTTTAATTTCAGCATATTTCTGTCTGTAATCTTTATAAAATCTACTCAAAGAAAGTACTGTGACTATTCAACAGTTTATCATTATGTAGGGAAGAGAACACTGTACAGACAGTCAGACCACCCAAAACAACCCTGACACTCAGAGAAATTAGGTAGGCAAAGGGGTACTAATCAACTAGCATAAAAGTAACCAGAAATTAAGTGGTAGGAACATGAAAAAATGTATGTTTAATATACACCTCTTGATTTTTGATCAGACACCCACCTTCAAGCAGTACTTTTATCAACTGACAATTTTTAGAGACTTTCTGGAAAAAAAAGAGATAATTCTTCATAATGTAGCTTTTTACTTAACAGCTCTGTACTATGATTAATTTCTTTATGAACACCTACTATAATTCTTTGGTCCTAACGATGTCTAACTCTCCCCCCAGCAGCTGACAACCTCCTTCCATATTCCCTCAGGCTAAGTATTCATCTGGCACTATTATTCAACAATAACATGACAAGTACACAAGGAGGTTCCGAGCAGCACTATTTATAATATCCAACTCAAATGTCTATCAACAGTAAATGGGTAAATTGTGAAGAGAGTACTATACAGCAACTAAAATGAAAGAACTACTGCTGTATGCAATGAGTGAATCTCACAAACATAATGATGAACAAGAGTAGCCAGATACAAAGGAGTACATACTGTATGATTCCATTTATATAAGTTCAAAGGAGGCTAAAAACTAATCAGTGGTGATAAAAGTCACAATAGTGGTTTCCTTTGGTGATGATAAGGACTGGGAGGGGACATGAGGAGGCATCTGTGGGGCAGAGACACTCCTTACCTTGATCTGGGGAATAAGTACGAGTGGTCACTATACAAAGATTCGCTGAGGTATACACTTGCGATCTGCACACTTGTCTGTAGCTATGTTATATTCCAATAAAACGTATACTTAAGAAAAAAGCAGCAGCATTAGAGAGCATGAAGGAAACAAGACAAAGCAAAGAAAATGGAGGGAGGATCAGAAAGAGACTGACTGGAATAAATGTACAAAATGGAAAGAAAAATAGGTGCTCACATTCAGATTCTAGGAGAATGCTACCTCAATGTTAGGTATTTTCCCAAATATCCTCATAACTTTCTGTTATTATGAACAAATTGAACGTTTTCTTTGTTACCGAGATCCAGCTCAGTCCAATCTCTTACCTGCTTTGGATAAAAATAAGCTCATTCCACCAGAGCCTGAGCCAGCTTCCAAAACAGTATCACCTGGGCTGATATCCATCATCAAGAGAATCATACTAATATCCTATGATTGAAAACAGTATGGGTGACTCAGCGACCAATAAATATGTACTAAGCGCCTAGTCTTATCTTACACTGTCGAGTATGGAGAAGGGAGTGAAAAAACGAATCAGACTCTGGACCTGCCTACAGGCACTCTGCCTACAGAGTTTATATTTCACTTGATGAAATAAGAGAGATCCAAGAATCAGTTAACAAATAAGGCAACACTTCAGAATAATACCAAAATTACAGACAATATAAGTTCTTAGAACAGCAGGATGGCCTAGTTTAAAGACAAAGAGTAGACAATTTATGGGAACAATCACAAGGTAAAAACAGCTTTAAACAAAGCAGAGGTAGAATAAATACAGTTTGTTATCTCAGGAGAGATACGCAGAGAACTAAATGCCAGTATGAGGCATTAGAACTCGGCCTGATAAGCAACCAGGGTGTGTCACCAAGGTGATATAAATGGCATTTTATGAGGATTAATCTGGCAGAAGAATACAGGATCTACTGGAGAAAAATCAAGAGGCAGGAAGACCAGTTAGGAATTTACTATATAATCTCTGCATAAAATGATGAACTTCTTTTTTTTTTGGAGACGAAGTCTCGCTCTTGTCCCCCAGGCTGGAGTACGATGGCGTGATCTTGGCTCACTGCAACCTCCCGGGTTCAAGCGATTCTCCTGCCTCAGCCTCCCGAACAGCTGGGATTACAGGTGCCTGCCACCATGCCCGGCTAATTTTTGTATTTTTAGTAGAGACGGGGTTTCCCCATGTTGGCCAGGCTGGTCTTGAACTCCTGACCTCGGGTGATCCGCTCGCCTTGGCCTCCCAAAGTGCTGGGATTACTGGCGTAAACCACCCTGCCCAGCCCAAAATGATGAACTTATTTATTTTTTTTGGGACAGAGTCTCGCTCTGTCACCCAGGCTGGAGTGCAGTGGTGCAATCTCGGCTCACAGTAACCTCCGCCTCCTGGGTTCAAGCGATTCTCCTGCCTCAGCCTTCCAAATAGCTAGGATTACAGGCACCTGCCACCATGCCCAGCTAATTTTTTATATTTTTAGGAGAGATGGGGTTTCACCATGTTGGCCAGGCTGGTCTCAAACTCCTGATTTCAGGTGATCTGCCGGCCTCAGCCTTCCAAAGTGCTGGGATTACAGTCGTGAGCCAACGTGCCCGACCAAATGATGAGCTTCTAATTTAGAATTAAGATACTGTGTAACAGTGGTCCCCAACCTTTTGGGCACCAGGGACCCATTTCGTGGAAGACAATTTTTCTACAGATTGGGGAGAGGGTGATGGTTTTGGGATGAAACTGTTCCACCTCAGATTATCAGGCATTAGTCAGTCTCTTATAAGGGGCATGCAACCTACATCTGGCGCATGCGCAGTTCACAGGAGTTTGCACTCCTATGAGAATCTAATGCCATGGCTGAGCTGACAAGAGATGGAGCTCAGGCAGTAATGCTCACTACCACCGCTAACCTGCTGTGTGGTCTGGTTCCCTGTTACAGGCCATGCACTGGTACCAGTCCTCAGCCTGGGGGTAGGGGAGCTCTGCTATATAAGGAAAAAAAGGGACTATGCTAGAAATAGATTGGAGGACCCATTTGCCAAACATATAATTGGAATTGTTTTTGTTAACACAACACGAATGTTATGGATGACATTAATAAAAACTGGTTTTTTTTTAAATTTATTAAACAAATTTTTTTGGTGAAAGGGTCTCACCCTGTCGCTCAGACTGGAGTGTAGTAGTGCAACAGTAGCTCACTGCAGCCTCGAACTTCTGGGCTCAAGCCATCCTCCCACCTCAGCCTCCAAAGTAGCTGGGACCACAGGCATGTACCACCATGCCCAACTAATTTTTTTCTATTTTTTATAAAGATGGGGTCCTGCTAGGTTGGCCAGGTTAGCCTTGACCCTAGCCTCCAGGAGTCCTACTGCCTTGGCCTCACAAAGCACTGAGATTACAGGTGCGAGTGACTGCACCTGCCCCCTCACCTTTTTTTTGAGACAGGGTCTTACACTGTTCCCTAGGCTGGAGTGCAGTGGCAAGATCATGGCTCACTGCAGCCTCAAACTCCTGGGCTCAAGCCATCCTCCCATTTCAGCCTCCTGTGTAGCTGGGATCACAAGTGTGTGCCATCATACCTGGCTAATTTTTTATTTTTTGTAGAGACAAGGTCTCCCTGTGTTGCCCTAACTGGTCTCAAACTTCCGGGCTCAAATGATCCTCCTGCCTCAGCCTCCCAAAATACTGAGATTACAAGCGTGAGCCACCGCATTCGGCCTCCAGTCATACTTTTTAATACTAAGATGGAATTATGTAATTCTTACAGGGAGATCAGTTTTTAAACAACAGTGGAGGTATTCCCTCAAGCATTTTGAAGTTGTAAAAGTTGAAGTTAAACTATCTCCAGCTACTACTTGGAAGCTATAAAGAGAAGTCAACACCTAACAAATTTAGTACTTAAATTCCTCCTTAGAGTAGAACAATGTGACTTATATCTGTAACAAATGGAAAGGCAGAAAGTACACTAAGGATGCCTATTTATAACTTCATGAAATGTAACTAATCTTTCTTCATTTTGTCTAATGGGGAGAAAGGAGACATGGGGAAGCAAGATAAAATTACAAAAGTCTTTGGTTTTCTTCAAGAGCTTACGATACCATGGCCAGGAGCGGTCATTCTCACCTGTAATCCCGGCACCCTCAAGGGAGGATCCCTTGAGCCTAGAGAAGTTTGAGACCAGTCTGGGCAAGTTAGGGTGACCCCAACACTAAAAAAAAATTTTTTTTTGATTAGCTATAGTGGCATACACCTGTGGTCCCAGCTACTCAAGAGGTTGAGGTGTGAGAATTGTTGGAGCCCGGGAGGTTGAGGCTACAGTAAGAGGTGATTGAGCCACTGCACTCTAGCCTGGGTGATATAGCAAGACCCTGTCTTTAAAAAAAAAGCTTATTATACCTCAGTAGCCTAAGCTTCTGAGGAAAGTTTTCTTAGTCCCTGGGTAGACCGTTTAAAATACAGACTGGATTCCTACTCAGAAACTTCTAATGGTCCTTCACTACAAATGGAATAAAATACTCAAACCACACCCCATAGAGGGACCCTCATCTGACCCAGAGGCCACAACAGAAACTCTGCAGTATTCCTCCCTTTGCAAGAACAATTCTTATCCTAGATCTTTACAAGGCAAGCTCTTCCTTATTTAGGTTTCCTATCAAGTGTACCTCCTTGGAGACCATCTCTACTCACCTGACATAAAGTATGCTCGTACCCCAGGTCATCCCAATGTCATTGTTAATGTATTTGTCTTCATGACACTTAATACTACTGGAAATGACCTTATTCTTTCATTTACTTGTTTGTTCTTTGTCACCCCTTCTAGAATGTAAGGTCTATGTTGAGAGTGAGGACTGCAGTTCAACACTATACTTCCCTAAATAGTGCCTTGAGTATGTAAGGCAGTCAATCATTTGCTGAATAAATAATGAACGAATCCTGATCTGGAGAAAGGAGGAGTTGTGTTACACAGGAACATTCTACTCAAGGACTGTGACTGTGACTAAGGATTGAAATAATCTGCTAGCAATAGATGATTAGCATAAACTTCAAACTAGGGCTGGGCGCAGTGGCTCCCGCCTGTAATCCCAGCACTGGGAGGCAGAGGTGGGCGGATCACTTGAGGCCAGGAGTTGAAGACCAGCCTGGGCAAAAAGGTGAAACCCCTGCCGCCCCCCGCCCCGCCCCCGTCTCTACAAAAATTAGCCCGGGGTGGTGGCGCATGCCTGTAGTCCCAGGTACTCAGGGGGCTGTGGTGGGAGAATCGCTTGAACCTGGGAGGCAGAGGTTGCAGTGAGCCAAGATCGCAACATTTCACTCCAGCCTGAATGACACGGTGAGAACCTGTCTCAAAAAAAAAAAAAAAAAACTGAAACTAGGCTTTAGGCAGTTAACTTTTTAATAAAGACGTCATTTTATGTTTGGTGTTGAATGTTAGCTATTTTAACATAAAACTCTATTTCTTCCCTAAAGGAAAAAGCACCGTAATGTATCTACTGTTGATAAAATATACTCTTGTAACATGATTATTAAATATTATTAAAATATCATCATAGTAGTACTAAAAATTTGTTCCCTAAGAGTTCAACATTCTCTTGAGTCCTGAAGTTGTAAACTTAAGAGTAATGGGGAACAAAATTAGTACTTACTATGTACCTAATGAGTTCACATCACCCTAACAGAAAGTTGAAATATTATCCACATTTTACAAAAAAGGGAATCGAGACTCCCAAGTTAAAATTAAAATCTGGGCGTTTCCTAATGCTAATTTTCATCATGATATGTAAAAGTTATATCCATTGGTTTATCTTAAAAGCCTGAGTACAATAAAAAATCCAAACGTTCTGAGATATGCTTTGAGTACATTAATCAGGACTGAGTACTGCATCTGTCTTTGCTCCTCCTGGAAACAATACACACCTTATCTCCATCACATTACCTTTGGGACTGTTACGGCAGTCCCTCTTTTCATCAATAATACATAGTCTTCCAATGCTGGCCTCCTCAGCGTGAACTGCTTACCCAAGGAACTCCTCAGTATCTGGCCGGGAAACTTGCCCACGATCTTGCTGAACGGGACTGCCCCCCAGCTACTATTTAAGAGTCCAACTTTGTTCAATCTAAATAATTTCTTAAATTGTGTTTCTCTCTTCTCAGTCTCAGCTAAAATCAGTTCCCCAACCTGAAAGGGTCTCTGTCTGGAAGTTGAACAAGAAGGGGAGACGTGAGGCTCTTCGATCTCGGTAGCAGACTGGGCCTGCGAGAGCATCGAAGGATCCTCGGATATCTGGTGTGCCGGACCGCACCGGCCCTGGTCTCCACTCGAGTCCTCGCGCTCTCGAGGGGATGACTCTTCCCGCGGAGTAGGCAGTCTGAGGTTTTCCAGTGACGAAAGACATCCGGTCCCAATGTCCGAGATGCTCAGAGGGAGAGATGGGCAAGACTCTGCTCCTGGGGCTTTCCTTTGTGCCGCCTCGTGCTCTCTTTCTCCGTCTCGCAGGTCTCTAGGCGAGGACCTGCAACACAGTGACTGAGCTCCTTCGAAGGGCTCTTGCCCTAGGCCGCGCAAGAATGAATTGGTTCCGAGTCCCTGCCGCAGGCAGAGCAAGACAGGACCGCTGCACCTTGCCATCAGCATGGTGTTTCGCGCAGGCGCCGTCGCAGACGAGTGACGCAACCTAGCGCGACCCCTCCTTTCCCTGTCGCGCGCATGGCGCAGCAGCCCGACGGCGCCCGCGTCGGAGGGGGCGGTGCGCTAGGTCAAGCAGTGGCGCCGGAGCAGCGGCGTTCTGGTTGAGTGACCATCAAGGAGTATGTCCTTGCGCGCGGGCGCCCGTTTTCCTTTTCGGAATGTGGGTAAATAATTTACCGCTGGCCGGGCGCGGTGGCTCAAGCCTGTAATCCCAGCACTTTGGGAGGCCAAGGCGGGCGGATCACGTGAGGTCCGGAGTTCGAGACCAGTCTGACCAACTGGAGAAACCACGTCTCTACTAAAAATACAAAATTAGGCAGGCGTGGTGGCACATGCCTGTAATCCCAGCTACTAGAGAGGCCGAGGCAGGAGAATCGCGTGAACCTGGGAGGCAGAGGTTGCGGTGAGCCGAGATCGCGCAGTTGGACTCCAGCCCGGGCAACAAGGGGAAACTCCGTCTCAAAATAAATAAATAAATAAATAAATAAATAAATAAATAAATAAATAAATTTACCGCTAACAGACGTCCTCCAGGTTCGCTGGCGGTCAGGAAGATTGAGACAAAACTTACAGCGCTGTGCAAACTGAAATGCAGGCTTAGCACGCTAGTGTCTTGAACACGGACATCACCTAGTCACCCCCAAGATATACGTATGAGTAGAGCTAATCCGGAGATGCATTTGACAAACGGCGTGGGACGCTCCAGTTGCTGATTGGCTCTCCTTTCCCAGTTGACTGCGACATCTCCCAGCCCCAAGTCCCTTTTGAAGGGGCTGTGACAGCCTGCCGGTCCCCTCACCCACCCCTCACGCCCGGAGAGTCCGAGAAGGTCGATTAGAGTACTCACTATGTGCTTATGTAACAGATGTTTTCATTATTAAAATATAACTAGTTTACCCTCCCAAAACTAAATAGAAGTGTCTTAAAATGGAAACAGGTATCTTTGGAGGCCAAAGTTATTTAACGTTAAATATCACTAGCCTCCCCGCATTTTGGGAAGCCGAGGCAAGCGGCTCATTTGAAGTCAGGAGTTCGGGACCAGCCTGGTCAACACGGTGAAACCCCGTCTCTACTAAAAATACAAAAATTAGCTGGGCGTGGTGGCACGCACCTGTAATCCCAGCTACTCCGGAGGCTGAGGCAGGAGAATCTCTTGAACTCGGGAGGCAGAGGTTGCGGTGAGCTTAGATCCCTGCAATGCACTCCAGCCTGGGCGACAGAGCAAAACTCCTCTCGGGGAAAAAAAATTAGTCGGGTGCGATGGTGCACGCCTGTAATACCAGCACATTGGGAGGCTGAGGCGGGGGGATCACAAGGTCAGGAGTTCAAGACCAGCCTAGCAACATGGCGAAACCCCATCTCTACTAAAAACACAAAAATTAGGCCGGCCTGGTGGCAGGTACCTGTAATCCCAGCTACTCAGGAGGCGGAGACACGAGAATAGCTTGAACCCGGGAGGTGGAGGTTATAGTGAGCCAAGATCGAACTACCACTGCATTGCAGCCCACACGACACAGCAAAACTCTGTCTCAAAAAAAAAAAAAAGGAAAAGAAAAAAAGGAAAAGTCACTAGCCTCGTTGCTGGACATTAGTTGACTGGGCAAAAGTTTACTGAGAGTCTGGCAATAGGAGGCACGTTAGACACTCATTTAAGTTTACAACAATTCTGTGTTAGAAACAAATCCATTTTATGAGTAAAAGAACTGGCCCAGGGAGATTAAATAATTTAGGGAAACCAGGCACAGTGGCTCACACCTGTAACCCCAACACTTTGAGAGGCCCAGGCTGGAGGATTGCTTGAGCACAGGAGTTCAAGACCCACCTGTGCAACATAATAAATATACAAAAATTAGTCAAGAAGCATAGCTGACATGTGGCATGGCAGAGTTTCCCATTTGGTCAGTCCGGTTCAGCAGCCCACGCTCTTTGTACTGTAACACTGTTTGGAAAGACTGGTCAACAGTACAGTTGAACTTAAAGTTCAAGTATATTCAAAGGGCTGTGAAGTCAATGTGAATTCTGTTTAAATTTGGTGAAATAAATCTTGTTATTCTTTTTTTGTTGTTTGTTTTTGGAGACGGAGTCTTGCTCTTGTTGCCCAGGCTGGAGTGCAATGACACGATCTTGGCTCACTGCAACCTCTGCCTCCCGGGTTCAAGTGATTCTCCTGCCTCAGCCTCCTGAGTAGCTGGGATTACAGGTACCTGCCACCAGGCCGGCCTCATTTTTGTGTTTTTAGTAGAGATAGGGTTTCGCCATGTTGCCAGGCTGGTCTTGAACTCCTGACCTTGTGATCCCCCCGCCTCAGCCTCCCAATGTGCTGGGATTACAGGCGTGAGCCACCGCGCCAGGCCGTTATTACTTTCTAAGACATACATTAATACTTTCTAATCGGTACTTTCTAGGACATCAGCCATCATAAACTCTATTAACAGGATTTCTCCCTTCTTTTTTTCCTTTTTTTTCTTTTTGAGACAGAGTCTCACTCTTGCCCAGGCTGGAGTGCAGTGGCATGATTTCGGCTCACTGCAATGTCAGCCTCCCAGGTTCAAGCAATTCTGCTGCCTCAGCCTCCCAAATAGCTGGGATTACAGGCATGCACCATCATACCCAGCTAATTTTTGTATTTTTAGTAGACAGGGTTTCACCATGTTGGCCAGGCTGGTCTCGAACTCTTGACCTCAGGTGATCCACCCACCTCAGCCTCCCAAAGTGCTGGAATTAACAGCCATGAGCCACCACACCTGGCCAGATTTCTCCCTTCCAATTCTAAAAATGAATAAAGAAACTGCTCTCTCCACACCCCAACTGCATGTCTCACTTTGTGTAGTTTTTTTAGGAAAAGTTCTTATGACCAATATTTTCTGGAGTTGTAGGCTTTTCTCACTACTGTTTCTTGTGATAGGCTTTCTAAGACAGAAACTCATTTTTGATTACAGAATTCTTGAAATTAAGGAGATTAACATGGGTCTGAGCCGGAACCTCCCAAACTCTAAGCCCTGTGGTGGTTTTAAAATTTATCATACCGGCCAGGCGTGGTGGCTCATGCCTGTAATCTCAGCACTTTGGGAGGCCGAGGCGGGCTGATCACCAGATCAGGAAATAGAGACCATACTGGCTAACATGGTGAAACCCCGTCTCTATAAAAATACAAAAAAATTAGCCAGGCATGGTGGCGGGCGTCTGTAGTCCCAGCTACTCAGGAGGCTGAGGCAGGAGAATGGTGTGAACCCAGGAGGCAGAGTTTGCAGTGAGCCGAGATGGCACCACTGCACTCCAGCCTGGGCGATGAGCGAGACTGTCTCAAAAAAAAGTATCATACCTACTTTATTATTTCTTAAGTATTATCAAATGATACTTGGCTGTTATTTCAGAAGAAGCAGGAATTGGAAAAAAAGAAGGTACACTAACAAGATATGGGAAGTAAATTTACATATCTTTGATTTTTAAAACAAACTAAATGGAAAATGGCATCACTTTCTTTCCATTGTTTGAATAACAGCCACAATGTTATAAGTATTTTGTTTTATATACATCTAATGAAATACATTAGTACAGTTTGGAAAGTAATATTATTTATTCATGATCTTTCAGAGCATTAAAACTCTCGAAAAAGAAGTCACTATGTGTGCCTTTCTATTTCTGGCTATTCTTCTTTACTTCTGTTTTCCCTATGAAATTGTCAACCTGCACTCTGAAACTATTATCTTGATGGTGAATTTGTGATACATCATCAACTTATCATGTTTACTTAATTAATTAATTAATTTATTGAAATGGAGCTTTGCTCTTGTCGCCCAGTCTGGAGTGCAATAGCGTGATCTCAGCTCACTGCAACCTCTGCCTCCTGGGTTCAGGCGATTCTCCTGCCTCAGCCTCTGAGTAGCTAGGACTACAGGCCTGTGCTACAGGCCTGTGCCAGCATGCCCGGCTAATTTTTTGTATTTTTAGTAGAGATGGTGTTCCTTGTTGGCCAGAATGGTCTTGAACTCTTGACCTCAGGTGATCTGCCTGCCTCAGCCTCCCAAAGTGCTGGAATTACAGGCGTGAGCTACTCCACCTGGCCCATGTTTACATTATAAGGCTAAGAAAGGTACTGTTGCCTAGTGACATTTAGTCAAGCAATTACTTTAAAATCTGAATAGCTCTCAATAAATATCATGGCTGATGGCTGGCGTTTTAAAATCTCCAAACAAGCCACCAGTTTGAGTTCCATAGGTGATCTCCTCTAGCTTTTTGCACATGCTTCTTCCCTCTATTTTGTATAGCTTTCCCTTGTCCTCCAGCTATCAACCTCACATTGCCACTGGAATGGTGGCTTTGTACTGATCCCAAAAGACCTAGAGTAGTTCCTTTCACTTGTGCTCCCAGTGGCTTCTGCCTGTTTTTGTTTTTCTTTTAGAAATAGGGTCTTGCTCTGTCACCCAGGGTGGAGTGCAGTGGTGCCATCATAGCTTACTGCAACCTCAAACTCCTGAGCTCAAGCAATTGTCCTGCTTCAGCTTGCTGCGTAGCTGGGTCTACAAGCGTGTGCCACCGACACCTGACTAATTTTTTTTTTTTTTTTTAAGACAGGGTCTTGCTCTTGTTGCCCAGGCAGGAGTGCAATGGCGCAATCTCGTCTCCCTACAACCTCCCGATCCTGGATTCAAGTGATTCTCCTGCCTCAGCCTTCCGAGTAGCTGGGATTACAGGCATGCACCACCATGCCCAGCTAATTTTTGTATTTTTAGTAGAGATGGGGTTTCACCACGTTGGCCAGGCAGGTCTCAAACTCCTGACCTCAGGTGATCCACCCGCCTTGGCCTCCCAAAGTACTGGGAATACATGCGTAAGCCACCGCGCTCGGCCAATGTTTTCCATTTGTTTGTTTGAGACAGGGTTTAACTCCCATCACCCAGGCTGGAGTGTAGTAGCATTTTCTTGACTCACTACAAGGTCTGCCTCCTGGGCTCAAGTGATCCTCCTGCCTCAGCCTCCCGAGTAACTGGGATTACAGGCACACGCCACCATGCCCATCTGATTTTTGTATTTTTAGTAGAGACGGGTTTCACTGTGTTGGCCAGGCTGGTCTCAAACTCCTGACCTCAAGTGATCCACCTGCCTTGGCCTCCCAAAGTGCTGGGATTACAGGTGTGAGCCACCTCGGTTGGCCATAATTTAAAAAAAAATTTTTATAGACGCAGGGTCTTACTATGTTGACCAGGGCAGTCTCAATTCCTAGCCTCAAGCAATCCTCCCTCGTCAGCCTACCAAAGTGCTGGAATTATAGGCGAGAGTCACCACATCCAGCCAGGGTCCTGTCTTTAAATCTATCACGGCACATGTCATACTATATGGAAATCGCTATTTATCATTTCCCAGGATAGAGGATAGAATTGTTGGGGAGAAGACTATGTCTTGTTCATCATTATAATTCCAGTGCCTGGCACACAACATCCCTCAATAAACATTTGTTGAATAAATGAATGAAGAAAGTGGAAAATGAGAAAATTAACAGCGCTGATACCTAGACCCCTGTACTAAATAACTCAACATGGTGCAATTATATTTAATAGTTATCATGTATTTTGTTCTGTGTCTGTACATTCATTTAGTTTTTATTAGAACTGTTGAAGTTCACATATTTTTTCTTACTGTATTTTAGCAAAATAGAAAATATCTACATCTAAGACTATACCTGCTTTTCTCCTGCTTTTTCACTTTCTCCCCAGTTGCTGCTAAACTTGAATCTGGATTCTGTAGAACTTCTCCTCTAGGATTTACTATTGTGTTACTAGAAACTGCAAATCCAAATTCAGAGAACTTTAAAACCTTCTCAAACATGTGTACAGGCATCCAGGAAAAATTGATGATATTGAGAAC